GAGGGGTACACGGTGCCTCCGGGTATACTGGATATGATAAAAAGTACAACAAGGGCTAAAATGCAAAAAATATGTATATATGATAATTTGTTGCAGGGTTTACTCACTTCCTCCTCCTCCTCCTCTTTGTTTTTGGCCACGACACCCTTCCTCCACCTGACCACCCCCACTCCCACCTGTCTTTTACCCATCCACACTACACAGCTCCACCCCTCCAAAGTCCAATCTTTGTTCTTGATTCGCCATTGGGAGACTACTAGCTTGAAGTGAATTTTTTTTTTTTGGAGGCTTTAGAGTCTTAGATCTGCTGTGGGATCGTTACTTGTTGTTGAAATTAAATTAATTTGGGTCATGGATCTATTAAAATATTCGTATTTTTAGATCTGTTGAATTTCTAAATCTATTAATTTCCTTTTTTTTTTCCTCTTTGTTTTGTGTTCAGATTTTTCATTTTTTTTTTATTGGAAGAAAAGAATTCAAGTACTACTCCTTCTATTTCCTTCCATTATCGATCGATTTCGTGATGTGGGTTTTGATCATCTTTTTTATTATGGGCTACGAAGACAAAAAAAAATCTTTTCTTTGGGAGTTCATTCAGAGGTTTTGAGGTGTCTCACCCGTAACTTGGTGGGGCAAAAACCCTAATGGCAATCTTCCTTGATTTTACAACTACGGTTTTTGAAGCCATGACGGTAATTCCACCTCTGAGCTCTCCAGTCTCAACTGATCTGAGCCTTAATCTTTCGATTATCATTGCATTTGGTGTTTAGAGTTTGGTTGAATTTGATTTGGGCTTTGTCAAATTCATCTTCTGATCAAGACCCGGTTATAATTTTGGAGGAATTTTTGGCATTTGTATGATGTTATGTTGTTTTTGTTTATTGGGGTTTTAGCTGCATTTGAAAATCTAATTATGTATGTTTAGATCTGTATTATTAGAGAGAATTCATCTTCTTCAGTTCTTCCTTCTGTATTTTTTGGTAAAAAAAGTGCCCAAATTCTTCTTCGAAAATTGGGTGCGGGTGAATCGCAAACCAAATTGAAAAACCGGGACTTTTTGTTGGTCGGTTCGGTTTGGTGTTAAAGATTTTGCGGTTTGGTTTTGGGTGGGTGTGTTGATCGGAAAAAATTGATTAACCCGAATCGATTTTCTTCGAACCGACCGAACCCTCCTGAACTGACAGCCCTACCAATTGTTTTTTATTAGCTCGGCCAATATCAACCCAATTAGATATAATTAATTCCAAATATTATCTCTAAATTATAAGAAACAAGTCCAACCGGATAGTAATTGCTAATCCTTCTTCGATTCGAATTAAACCAAAATACGTATTTTTGGTGCTAAAACAGTGTTTTATATTACGTACATAAATTAATATACTTATTGAAAAACCTTGGCCTGTTAAGTTAGGCATCAACTATATCATGGCAAAAGTTAATAAATCCAGTTGCCAAGAATTGATGAGTCTGGCGTGACACTAATTTCAATATGGCTAAACTAGTTTTGTTAAGCGATATACATTTTGTTGACATTTATTAAGATTTATTTCAAAAGATAAAGCTTTTAGTACAATAACTGCTTGAGATGGTTTAATGTGGAAAGAATTTATGTAGAGATATTATGTCTGATAACATCAAACTAGCTAAGGAGTTAATGAGAGTGACGTTTTATGACATTAAAACTAAAAATGAGATTTGCGTGTGAAATAACTGTTAACTTGTTTTAGCTTTTCTCTTTAATTCTCAAAGAAGTAATGGTTTTGTTAACCTTACGTTAAATGCTATCTTTGTTTTTTCAACATATATTATAATTGGGGAATGTGAGATTGCTTTTGGTAGTTCTCTCACATGATTCTCACATGTATTTTTATGTTTTGCTTTAGATTAGTTTTTTTTTCTTCTTAAACTAAAAATGTTGTATCTTTCCGTTTTCTTTTTCATATTTTCTTTCATATTATTTTTCAACATTTATTGTGATCGTTTCTTACAATTATTAAAATTTTCATCTCTTTTTATCTTTTACTGTTTACTATGTGTGTTATACGTTTTATCTCCCTTCATCTTCTGTTTTTTACTATCGGTATTAAATTTCATATATATTTCTCTTCTATTATTTAATAATGTTATACTTTTCATCTCCCCTTATCTCTTGTAACAACTTGTTCATGTGTCCTTTTGTTTACTTTTAGCATTCAATACAATGATTTTTATTAAAACTATTTAAACACCACAATTCTAATTCATCTTTTATGTTGGTTTTCTCTCTTCTCCATTTATCTCTTATCCTGATTTTCTTTCTTTTTTTTCTCTTCTTTTGCAAGTTCTTTAAATATGTTTTAACAATTTGATTGAAAGTTCAAGTTGAATTCAAATAGAAGTAGGGATGCTGATGTTTGGCTATTCAGATAACATGAAGTTAAGTTGCAGAATCCAAAAGCAGTGAATGAAGGTTGTAGTAAAAAAATTTAAATTATTCTTGAATTGAATAATAGGCGTCTTCTTGATTTCAGGTAAAATTTAATACGGTTAATACTTTACAATTCGTAAGTAATAGTTTTTTATTTATTTTTTCACCAAACATTTTGAAACCATGACTCTCTTTCACATATTCAGGTTATTGAATTTATTGTTGTAAATGTCAAATTAAATTTATGTGAGAAAAATTATTCACGGTTCCATTTTAATCATCTATATTATTGTAACAAAATAGATTATGAAAATAAGATAACGGAGCATTCTTTTGTTGTTTCTGTCTTCAAATTTAAGCATATCATAATTACATATTTAGAGTTAATATATATTATTATACTCATGTTGTTTTATATTGCAGCACGCGCGAAGCGCGTCGATCCATCTAGTTCACTATAAATATCAAGTACCAAAACATCATTTTCATCCATTCAGTGAAAACCCAAATTCTTTAACTACTTTTCCTTTACACTTTGATATCACTATACACAAGTAAATTTCTTTGGGTTTCTTTCTCTTTGCTTTTAAATAATTTTACAAATATTAGATCTATATACTTATTAGTTTCTGTGCCCTCTAAATTTAAAAGTAAGACTTGTTTTATCTTGTGGGAACTAAAATAGTTTCTTTAGCACAATGCAATTCTCCGCTGCTTAAGTATTTTTTTTATATAGCATTTTTGGAGCATGCCCAACACATTTTACCTCAGTACAAAGGGAGAGGCATAAACATGTATGATTAAACTAATTATGCTGGTATGATAAGTGGTACGTTCTACCTTAAACACGTTAAATTACATTCTACCTTTTAAAAGACTGATAAAGGGTTGATTGTATATTTTATTTGGTATCAGATCATTTATAAAATGATCACTTGTTTCCTTTCATTTTAAAAATGCCATTGTTTTTCCGAGTTAGGGTACCGTGATTTAACTTCTCTGTCAATCATTATTTTGCCTTGTTACATTCGTTTTTACAAGGCAAGAACGTATGCAAGTAGGATTTTACAAGTTATCATCACGAAAAACTACTTCTTGAACTTATTGAAAAATTTAGAGATGAAGTCTATGTTTTTTTGTTTTGAGTTATCTGGGACATAGTCTGCTGTGCGGTCACACCCAGTTAGTGATTCGATTTTTCGTTGAGCCAAAATGCTCAAAATGCGTATTGGTATTTTTCTGTCATAAGTTAATTGGATGGTAGATATTCTTTATGTCAACTGGCTGGCAGCTCCATTAATGACAAGATTTCGAAGAGTTCTTGATTATTATGCAAAGGAGATTTCCCTTTTCAACTAATTACTCCATCCAGTACAAGTTGTAGTAATTATTATTTAAAGACACATATTGTAGGTGTTTTGCAGTGAATTTCTATTATTGTTTTAAATAATGCATCTACAATGATTTATACTATTGTTATGAGTATAACGTCATAATTTATCAATATTACACTTTTATTTAACTTTTCCCATCATTGATTTTCAATACTATAAAAGTGGAATAAGATAAAATAACTCTTGTATAATCATGAATCCATAGTTGACTCCAAAATAGTATATAATACAATGTAAGAGTTCTTATATCGTTACAAATTATTACATTTTACAAAATAATAAATTTTATAATAAGATGTTTACTTGTTATTGAATGCTTTAACGGCCAGTGAGTGAAACCCGAAAAGAGAATTTACTTAAGATTCTCTCGCATAAACTATAGTTTCTCATAAAAAAAATATAATTTATTGAATTATTTTTTGGATAGAAAAAAGTACTACAATATTATTCTATCCTTTTGCTACTCTTGAATGTGTCTGTGTCGCCTCCGACTACAACAAAGATTTGAAGTTATATCATCAAGGTAAATGATACTACCAGTATCACACTAACTCACCTCGAATTCATCATAAGGAATTTGTTTTCTTCTAAATCTTTCATGATCTAGTTTGTCAACAAGAACGTAAATTTAAGCGGTAAGAATGGATGTCTGAGAGTTTGATTTCGTACATATAAAAATTAGTATTATAAGTGTTTTATACTTTCCGAAAGTAGTTGTATCTTAAGTAAAACGAAAAATACTCTAGGTGGATAATCTGCATATTCACGTGAACACCTCATTATTCATTTATCAAATACACAAAAATCAGAGGTGAAAAGAGAGGGGGGGTGGTGGAAAAAGAAATTAGACCTTGTTGATTAAGAAAAAATTTCATGTGGCTAAAAATTGAGAAATCCTTGTATTAGTCAAAACTAAAATGAGAAACAATGAGATTACCAATGGGATAAGAGAACAAATAGGAAAGAACGACTTGCTTGTTTTGATGCTTCGCATGGAACGACAAAATGAGAATCTAATTTGTACCTATTAGCTGTTTACTTTTTACGCCTTAGGATTCCTTCGGATTTTCTAATGGGAAAAACATACAAAATTCACCCCCCAAGTAACACCTTTATAAGGACCTCTTCAATCCTACCTAATTCACTCAATAAGCACTTTTCATTTGGTGTTATATACATACAATAATATTTATATTGAGATGGAATTCAATTGTCAAGATTTTAAGGTGGGAAAATGTGAGGGAGAGAAACTAGTCCATGGTGAGACTATGCCATTGGTGTTGCAACCAAGAGAAGCAACCAAGAACGATGTTGAATTCTTGCTTGAGGGTTTGAAGAAGAACAAGGAATGGTTTGAAGCCATGATCATCAAAAATAGTGCAGTTTTGCTCCGAGGTTTTGATGTGAAGAATGCTGAGGAATTCAATGAAGTTGTGGAGCTTTTCGGATGGGAAGATATGAGGTATGTTGGACCTGCTCCAAGAACCCATATTTACAAGAGAATTTGGACAGCCAACGAAGGACCCTTGTCGGAATTCATATATTATCATCATGAGATGGTTCTGGTAAGTTCAACATACTTTTTTGTTCTAAAATAATTATCCAATTTAGATTTTCATTTATAGTACAAAATATAAATTGTACTAAAACAAAATTCTAAAGTGGACAATAATTTGAAACAGATAGAATTTTACATATTCATCGTCAACGTTGTAATTTGAATACTCTTAAGGTAAAACAAAAAGAACGGCAGAGAGTCCATGAGACAATAACAATACTAATGAATAAAGCGGAGAAACTAAAGATTGATGTTTTAAACCATCGTCATCTTTGTTCAAAAGTTAAAAATAAAAATAAAACAAGTGTGAGACATATTGGTAGTTAACTTCGTTTTGGAATGTAAATCACTATCATGATATATATGATCATGCTTTGAACATTATGGCCTAAAAAGTAAAGTAACAAAAGTAAGGTCAAATTGATTTAGGTGATTATGTACATACCCAAAGCATTTGCCAATAAGAATTTCTCGATGGTCGCTATGCTTTGCGAATCATACGACGTCACGCCTTATAACTTAAGTCAGAAAATGAAATCTCTTCATAGATTAAAAAATATGTACTATTATTACTATTTAGATCACAACATTGTCGCCCGATACTTTTGTTATTGACACTGATTGGTGTGACAGATTAAAGAAAGCCCCGGTAAGGTAATCTTGTTCTGCGAGATTCCACCTCCTGAAGGTGGAGAAACACCCTTTGTGCCAAGCTTCCGAGTGACAGAAAGGATGCTGGAAGAATTCCCTGAAATGGTAGAGGAAATGGAGAGGAAAGGTTTAAGGTATACTTTCACAGCTCCTAGTAAGAATGATACATCTTCCATGAGAGGTAGAGGTTGGGAAGACGCTTTCGGGACATCCGATCGCGCTGAAGCCGAGAGAAGGTATACTAAAACAGATTCATGTATTCCCTACGTCCCAGAAAAAAGATTCATATTTGTCACATTGTTTTTGTTAACTTGTGTTTTGTTGTGCTTAATTAGGGGTAAGCTTTTGGGAATGGATTTTGAATGGCTTCCGAATGGAGGGTTGAAGACAATATTGGGTCCTAGACCGCTGACTAGGGTTTTCGAGGGAAGAAAAGGAAGACGGATGTGGTTCAACACATTGGTTGGAATGCACGGGAAAGAGCACAGCTCTGCGACATTTGCAGATGGAACTGAGATTCCAGAACATGTGGTGAAGAGATGCGGTGAGATTATTGAAGAAGAAAGCATTCAGTTCAAGTGGGAAAAAGGAGATGTACTTTTCTTGGATAACATGGCTTTACTCCATGGAAGGAGGATTTCTCTTCCGCCTAGAAGGGTTTTGGTTACCATTTGCAAGTAGTATATTTCTTTTCCCTCCATGAATATTATATTACTTGTCCAGAAGCATAGAACTAATAATGCTTCTTCTTCTTTTTTTCTCCCCTCCTTTCTTTGTGGCCAAAGAATAACATGATTGTGAATAAAGGTATTTTACTTTTCGATCGTGAATTCGTAATATGTAAGAACACAACAATATTTAGTCGTTTGAACTTTGAAGCATGTGTTCAACTTCAAAATTTCTGTATGGCATAATAACGCATTGTAATACTATTTGATGATTCCCAAAAAAATAGTCAATGTTCAATTTTGAAATTATTATTAAAAACAGTACTAATTTGAAATTCAGTGTGAATTATTCGATAGTCATTTTAGAACACAGATACAATAGTGATTTGATAGCACTTTTCCCCCCTTTTGAAAATCCTATTACTGTGATCTCTTTCTTATCCTGATTCTACAGTTTAAATTTTCACTTTATTTAAATATAATATGCATTATCAATAAAAATTTAAATTAAATAATTATTTCAAAACAAAAAAAAATGTTTTTATAAAAACATCTAAACTTTAGTGTGTCTTACTATATTAGAAACAAAAACCACACTTAAGAGAAAGCACCATCATTTGTCATGTGGCATTTTCACATCATATTTTTAAAATAATTTTTTATTTACACATCAATTTCCTAGACTTAAAAGACAAATGCAGTCCAAATCTACCTCCACCTCCTATTAGGATGTAATAGGAGAACTTTTCATGTCATTCTCTCTCCTCCTCCCTCAATCTCCACGATTTCACCCACCAATCGACTTTTAATCAGTCCACGTTTAAAAAGTCCACATATAGAAAATATTCCATGTAGAAATTATAGTTTTGAATCCGTGTAGAAAATCATGACAACGGCTCTAAAAATTTTTCCAAATCATCGACCTCATTTATGTATTAGCTAACGGAATCTTTTGCTATGGTAATTTGTCAATATTCACCAAACCTTCTTGGATTAATTTTTTTATATATATAAACCCCAAACCAATTCTTATATGTGGATTAATTGAGCTAAAATTTACAACAAAAATACTGAAATTGTATATACATAATCACTGCTATTAATTTTATTAAGTTACCATAAAATGGTCGTAACACAATTAAGTTCATTTCGATAGAGGATTCTTAAGTTACACTATTTTTTTGACATCTAATATTTTTATACAAAAACTATTTAAGAAACCACAATCCCATTAAACTGATTAATTGATATCACATCCAATATTTGCAAATTAGTATATAATAATATCTTTTGCAAATATTAGATAATGATTTCATTACACTATTAAAATATTTGGATGTGATTACACTATTTAAGAAAATATAATTGATTTAGGTTCATAAAAAACTCAAATCCTCATCTCCATCTCCACGACAATCGACTCCCTAATCAATCCCTTCTCCACAATGAAAAAAAAACAAATTCCTCATCAATCATCAATTGAGAATATATGGTGAAATATACTCCTTTCCTATTAGCATGTTTAATCTTTTCATTAGTGATGATCAACTACTTCGTAATCGGATAAAATTTCGACTTCAAAAAATATTCTCTTTACCTCTCTATATAAACACAAAGGAAAAAAAAAATTCTCATTGATCTTGCTTCGGCCGTTGTGGTTTACAGGTATTAAAATTTAAACGATTTTATTTCCACAGATCATTTGTTTGGCTTTTATTATTTTTTATTTTTTCAGTTCAAGAATAGTGTTATTACTATTATTTTTATGTGTCCATCCGTTACAGCTACCGTAACCGTTGTCAGGTAATATGATGTGATTTCTTATATGGTTAGTTAGCCTAAAATTTTTGTATGATTTTAGTTCTGTTTGGATTGAATTGATTAATTGAGTTTTTGTTAAAAACTATGATTTTTTAAATTTTTTTTTATGTTTCATTCAATTAGAGTGGTTTTCTTTTTTTAATTATAGAGTTTCAAGTTTTTTTTCGTATATGGTCAGTTTTGAAGTGTGTTTTTTCTTTGTTTAATGATTTTGTTTCATCCCACTTGACCAATTATTATTATTATTATTTTATTTTATTTGCAAATAAAGCGCGTTTTTTTTTTTGTGTTCGGGCTTTCAAGAATATACTTTTTTGGATTTGGTTTTTGGACTTTTTTTAGTTTCTCATCATATAAATAGTTCAGGTCGCTTCTTCTAACTAATTTATGGGGAAGCCTTTTATGAATTTGAGGTAGAGAGGGAAAAATGATGTTTCTACGTTTATTTGTGTTTTTATACATCATTTTTACCTACAGAAAAAAAAAATTTCTCAATTTTTAATGGGCTTTCTTTTACTTTTTTTTTATTTGCCATGGTGAGGTGAGTTTTTTTTTGATTTTTTTTTTTTGCTATAACTTGAAACCTATGCAAATTTATATTATTTTCATTCTCATATTTGTGATCAACCAGTTTCAACAATTAACCAGTTCTAAAATCATATTTTTGATATTTTACTACCTATAAACTTTTGGAAGAAATAGTTCCAACAATTAAGCGTATACCCTTTGGAGGAAGCTTACTACAAAGCTATTATAAATCTCCAAAACTTAGTATTGATTTGGCACAACCAATGAAGAACATCAATAAATTATCTTACTAATATTTAAACTTATTAGGATGCTTTTATATTTTGTCTACCATTTACGTCAAGACATATACTTGATCAAGTTTATTTATATTTAAGAAGTAACACTTATAAAATATTTCTAAAATCTTCAAACATTTCTAAAACGTACCGGGCCAAATACAATTCTTTTTATGCCAAATACAAACATTTCTGTTATCACACTTATAAAACATTTCTAAATTCTTCTAACATTTCTAAAATATATCGGGCCAAATACAAAATATTTTTTTTCCAGATACAAACATTTCTAAGATCTACAGATATATTGGGAATGCGCGACCAAACATCACTAGTGTATTGAAGAACAAAAAACGAAAAGATAATATCAATTTCTTGCATGCCATATTGTGCTTGTAGCTGATAAGACTCTTATTTTGGGTACAATGAATGAAGTCAAAGTCTAAAATACTAAATTATCATATAAAAAAAAATTTTACTGTCACATCCAGTAAATGCGTTGCAGTTTCACAATCCAAACACGCAACAGTTTCACAATCCTTCAGTAGGATCACGCAGCAATTTCACAATCCTATTCCTGCGCAAAGACTTTTTGATGGCTCGACGCTTTCTTATTTATGAAAAAAGGCTTTGATTAATCATTATTTGTAGTATATTAGTTTCCTTTGTTTCGTAGTAAAACACTTCTAACCACATTCTGCTCATGATTTGCAATCCTACGTTGGGGGCGCTTTGTTTTCTGGGAAGCATTGGATCCGAGAAAATATTAAACATACCTCATTTCTTTGCTTTTCTATGTGGGAATTGAATTAATCAAATTTTCATGAAAAAAAAGGAAAAGAATTCTTGCGTACAGTACGTGGTGAATATTTTCGTCTAGATCTGGCAGAATCAAAATGCCTCATTTGGGGAAAAGAATACAAGGGTTTGGGAGAGAATAGACAATTAAGGAGGCGTTCGTTTTGTTAGCTGGAAACGGATTTGAATGATGACGGAATGGATTCAAATAATCAGAGATTCACGAATCTAATAGTGTCGTCTGGTTGAATATATGGATTGACTTAAATAATTCTTTTTTTCCCCTCTAATTCACGAATCCAATAGCGCCGTTTGGTTGAATAATCAGGTTTCACCAACTACACATTTTTATTGAAAAAAAAAAACCTTAAAAATATATTTTCACATTGGTAGTGTTCTCTTGATTGTTATGAAATATTTTTAAAATTTTTTTGTTAATAAAAAATGTACACTAATTAAAATTTAGGACAAATCAAAATGTCTTATATTAAGGACCGAAGGGAGTATCACTCTCTAGGAGCTTGTTGCATCCGCCATTTCCTACATGGTAAACTGAAAAACAGAGAAGAAAAGCACGCGTCGGGAAAAAAAAAAGATGGACAGAACTTCAGCTACAATCTAAGATGAAAGAAAGAACCAGAGACAGATGGATCTTCAGCCCATGCAAGAAAGAAATTAAAGCAGCCAGGAGATCACAAACATACCCTTGAAAACATCCCCCGCTTCCCCCTTAATATGACGAGCTTTGTGTGCACCAAGGCATATGGCTACTTTGGGCAACTCTGCAGCTTCAGTTACTGACATTTTGCGAGTAAAACTACAACAAAAACCAGAAACTAACCTGTTTCAGAAATTAGGTTGGAACAGACAAATTACACAGGAGTGCTTATAGAGTATGAAGCATACTTCGTCATCAGAAAACTGCCAATAATTGATCCAGATCCAGTGACTTGTATATCACATTCAACCGCCAGTTCCCCTTTACCGTTCATGCAGTACAGCCCGCGCTCCTGCACAAAGACCAAAGAAATGACCACCTATTCATTTTTTACAAAAATGGAACAACAGTAAATGAAGATGAAAAGTTCTACTAGTTTAGAAGTATACAACAAAGAAAGTTGAAATTATAAATCAAAGAACTACCGATTCGTTCCACACGGCTATCAGTATTCCTATTGACAATTCCTCTTTGTGTGTCGAAAGAGTCTCAGCCAGCCACTTCAAAGCCTCTGCAACCGAAGTTTCCTTCCCCTCTGTTTGTTCTGGTAGATAGCACTTCAACACATACCAAACAATCCTTTGTGAGTACAAATGTAGTATATACTAACAAAATTGTCAAGTTGCCTTTCTTATTTTTTACCCTAAACTACACAAAGGGAAAAACAGTATCTTATGTTTGGATCATTTTTTCAATGTGTGTTTTTAGGTATTTTTCTATTGGAAATATAAAAAAAGTGTATTGAAAATGTAAAACAGTATGTTAGGATGAACAGTTATTATTATCATTTAAAGAAAAAAAAATCCACCCCAGTGAACCCCACTTAAATGTGGGTAAACCCTCCCCTACAAACCCCTTGATGGGTATTCTCTAAACCCCTTGGTGAAAATATCCTCTTGATACTAATATTTTCTCTTCTTCATGTACTGCTTCCATGCTTATCGAGCCTTCTTCATATACCTCTGCCGTTAAAGACGTCAATTGGAGGGGAGTAATGGCCAAGGAGATTGCTTCTTTAGAGGACAATTGCACATGGCACATCACTTCTTTACCTCCCGGGAAAAAGGCGGTTGGATGTAAATAGGTCTACAAGTTTAAATACAAATCTGATAGTACTTTGTAATACTACAAAGCCCGTCTTGTTGCCAAGGGATATACTCAAACCGAAGGCTTGAATTATAAAGAAACCTTTGTTCCAATTGCCAAACTGACCACAGTTCGAACTTTGCTTGCTGTAGCCACGGCCAAAAATTGGGACTTAGCACAACTTGACGTTGACAATGCTTTCCTACAGAACGTTAAATGAAGAAGTTTATATGAAACTCTCTCCTGGTTTTAAGGCTCCTCTAAATGTCCCCAATGCAGTTTGCAAGCTTGACAAATCCCTTTCTGGTTTAAAACAAGCTTTGCGCCAGTGGTTTTCCAAGTTTTCTTTCGCCTTTGTCAGTGTTAGGTTTTCCCAGTCTCATTGTGATCATTCTCTTTTCACTCAAGTTGATGGACCTGATTTTACAGCAATTTTAGTATATGTTGATGACGTTATCATTGCTAGTAGCAGTTCCCTTATTGTTCAACAACTAAAGGACATGCTTCATGCCACTTTTAAGATAAAAGATCTTGGCTCTTTGATTTATTTTCTTGGCCTTGAAATCCGTCGTACATCCGAGGGACTTTTCCTCAATCAACAGAAATATGCTCTTGATGTCCTTAATGATACTGGTTTAACTGCCGCCAAACCATGTACCATTCCCATGGATCAAAATCATGGCTTTGATGCTTCAGTGGGTGAACCGGTTAGTGATCCTGGTGAATATCGTCGGCTTATTAGTCATTTAATTTATCTCACCATTACTCGACCCGATTTGGCTTATCATGTTCATATCTTGAGTCAATTTATCGCTTCACCCTGCATACCTCATCTCCAAATGGCTATAAAGGTTCTGAAATATGTCAAGAGAGCAATTGTTCAAGGCATTTTCTTCCCTGCTCATAGCCATTTTAAGCTTACTGGTTATTGTGATGATGATTGGGCTTCCTGTTCTACTACGCGTCGCTCTATCTCTGGCTATTGTATGCTTCTTGGTGGTGCTCTTATCTCATGGAAGACTAAGAAATAACACACAGTCACTCGGTCATCTGCTGAGTCCGAATATAGATCTATGGCCCAAGCATGTTCTGAAATTACTTAGCTCAAGAACTTACTTCATGATTTACAGGGGTTTGATATCACTCCAGTTCCTCTATTTTGTGATAGTGAAGCTACATTACACATTTCTTCCAACCCTGTGTTTCATGAACATACAAAACATATTGAAATCGATTGCCATTTTGTTCGTGAGAAGATCCAGAAAGGTCTTATTCAATCTTCTTATATCTCTACCTCAATGCAAGTTGCCGACCTTCTTACTAAGTCACTCGGTTCTGTACAGTTGACTTTTTTTTTATCCAAGTTAGGGTATTTGCAATTCTTTGCACCTACCAACTTGAGGGAGGGTATTAATTGTAAAATCATAACTAGATTTAGATTATATTTAGATTGTAATCTTAGATTATATCTTATCTGATTTTATAGTTACATAGTTGTATATTTTTATCCCATATTATTAAGTAGAGTTAGTTTACTATAGAGACTATAAATATCATAGTAAATCAATGTAACACATGATTCGGATTCTAATGAATTCTAGTTTCTTCCCATATTCTTATAAAAGCGACAGAGACATTACCTTTAAAGATGGTTCAGATTAATGCATGGTTGATTCAGTCAGTTGATATAAACGTAAATTCTATCCTTTGGAGTTTTAAATCATGTCGACCTTTTAGCCAGTTAAAAATACCGAAAAATAATAAGTTGAAAATAGATTGTACTATAACTTTGCTGAAATTTTAACCTTCACATCCATCAAGGTAGCTTAATGCGGTACTTCCTCAATAAATTACTTTTATCCGACAGACATTCAAAGTAAACCAAAAAGTGATAAAAATTTCCTAAAAAAAAAAAAAAAAAATTTCACGGCTAACCTTAAATTGATTTCTATCCACAGTCACGACGATGTAAGAAATTTTCAATAGTCAACATAAAAATCAATATTGAAAATTTTCATTAGGCTTTTGAATCAAGTCGACTTTATAGTCGGGTTAATGAAATAATTAGGCACAGTACTTCATGTTTGCTTGACGACGGGATTTTTAGGAATTAGGACATTTCAAAGTCTTTTCTTCCCCAAACGTTGCTCCAACGGTTGAAATTTGTGCCCCTTAAGGCTTAATCTATTTCTTAGAATCTCAACATTAGCAATTTTGCCACTCCAGTCGACGACTGCCGCTGATCTTTCTCCGTTGAATAAGTAAATGATCCATTGATTTAGCCTGCATGTAGCCAAATGAAGAATTATGTCAAACTAAAAAGTTGAGAAACTTGTTGTAAATGAAAATACGTGATTGCAAATTGATAGGAAAATAAGTAAAATTCATAACTTGTGATATTTTTCTTAATTCAGAATATATTTCAAAAAATGTATATTCTGTTTTGATTGGTGAAACTATATAATTAGAATTAAGATTTTAGAAAACTTTATGTTTTTCTCCGGTGTTTGTCACTCAGTGGTTTCGTTATGATGTAATAGGGGTAATTTTTCCTAGAAATGTAGTGATCTAGAACAGGCTTTCGCCTCCCTTTTGCATACAAAACAATAAATAAATAAATAAATAAAATAAAATTTTATACGTCCGACTTTTTCGTCGACTTAACTACATGGACGAGAAAGTCAACGTAAACGAAGAAAAGTCTTCAAGTCAGACCCGTCGGATGTTTCACAAATCAATAACAAAAAAAGAAAGAAAGTGGCCCCTTATATACCTTGGACCTATAAATACACCCGCTCAAACCTTACTCGATCTCACATAAAATCAAAACCTTAGAGTTTGTTTTCAGCACCCCAAAAAAAAAAAAAAAAAAAAAAACCTTGTAGCTTGTTGTTCGAAATGGAATCTTTCTCTTGTCAAGATTTCAAGGTAGGAAAACGTGAGGGTGAAAAAGTAGTTGATGGTGAAACCATACCATTGGTGTTGCAACCAAGAGATACCATCCAAAATGATGTTGAATCATTGCTTGTGACTTTGAAGAAGAACAAGGAATGGTTTGAAGCCATGATCATCAAGCATAGTGCTGTTCTGCTCAGAGGTTTTGATGTGAAGAATGCTGAGGATTTCAATGAGATTGTGGAGCTTTTTGGATGGGAAGAAATAAAATATGTTGGACCAGCAATAAGAACAAATGTACACAAAAGAGTTTGGACTGCCAATGAAGGACCCTTGTCCGATTCCCTGCCTTATCATCACGAAATGGCTCAGGTAACACCAATTTTAATTACCAAATACCACATTCAGTATTACGGATTGAATGATCCGATGAAGTGTTCAGATAAATCATACTGATAAAACTTCGTTACAAGTCCATTTTAACCTATCATTTATTGCAAAAAGAAGTCGTAACCAAGTTTCTGTATCATTTACGTTGTTTGGTAGCTTATTTTCTTGTTAGTAATGTTAGTAACTTTTTTTTTCTTTTTTCTTTTTTTTTTGGTGAGGGGAAACAGTTTACAGATAAGTTGAGTAAATTGATTCTGTATTGTGAAATTCCACCACCAGAAGGTGGAGAAACACCAATCGTGCCGAGTTTTCGAGTTGCAGAAAGAATGAAAGAGGAATTCCCAGAAATGGTAGAAGAAATGGAGAAGAAAGGGTTGATGTATATGTTCCCAGCTCCAAGTAAGAATGATGCATCTTCAATGAGGGGAAGAGGCTGGGAAGATGTGTTTGGGACATCAGATCGTGCTGAAGCTGAAAAAAGGTGTCGACAACCTTACCAAATCTCTCTCTTTTAGGGTGTTTTTTTTTTCCTTAAAACGAGGTTATTCCCCCCCAAAACACAAACAAACAAAACTCAATATGCTAACTTCGATTAATAACACTACTAGTTACATACAACTAGGCACTTTCTTTTTGAGAATCCATTGTGCTTGAATATGACATACTAATTGATTAAACTAATCGGACCAGCAAGATACAATATGTGGATTTGGATCTTGTACCATGACAAAAACAATAATGCTTGGATATATTTTCATCATATATTAATGATACTTACAATCTCCCTAAATATTCCCCATTCCTTCCCCCAAAAATTGAATTAATTTACAGTTTTTCTTTTCTAGATTCAAGAATGCTAATGTGATGAGGAATCGCTATAATTTCATCTCTTTGCTTTTATCAGGGAAATGAAGGGACTGTGAGAATCGAACTCGTGAAAATACCGAAAAAGTTTTCTTATGAAGCGTGTTTCTTCGTTTGCATTGCAATATTGACTTGTTGTATGTGTAGGGGAAAGCTTATGGGAATGAAACTTGAGTGGCTTCCGGATGGAGGGGTGAAGACATTTATGGGTCCATATCCTCTGACTAAGGAGTTTGAGGGAAGAAAGGGGAGAAAGATGTGGTTCAACTCGCTCAATTTCCATGGGAAAAATGCCACGGTAACAATGACAGACGGAACTGAGATCCCACAAGATTTGGTGAAAAGAATTGATGAGATCATGGAAGAGGAAAGCATTCAGTTCAAGTGGAACAAGGGAGATATACTTTTCTTGGATAACAAAGCCGTGCTCCATGGCAGAAGATCATCTCTTCCACCCAGAAGGGTTCTGGTCGCAATTTGCAAGTAGATTTCATGTGTTTCTGTGATTTGTTTACCCACTTCTCATTCTGTTATGAGAATCGATAGACCATATATTCTGTTTAAAGTATCAATCGCGAATCCAATTTGCGACATTCCCTCATCTGAAATTATTGTATTGTCTAGAGGTTATATTTTCTAGTGTACTTGTTAAAAGAAAAGGGAACGTATTCAAAAGAAAATGGAAACTGGGAAGTTAAACAAAAGGGGGAAGAAAAACACCCAAAAAAAAAAAAAAAAAAACCGGTCTTATAACTTCTTTCCAAAACAATCCTGCAATAATCTAAGGGGGCTGTCTTCGTAAACAACCTCCACCTAAACAAATCCAATCAAGTTGGACATACCATTACATGCTAGAGCCTACTAGAGTGCTAAGCAATTTGGTAGCTGAAGTAAAACTTACAAAGTAAAATCACTGAAAAATGGTCAAACAAACAGAAAATGGAGGAAACAATCAAGGACAATGTGTGTCCTCCTTTTTATTTTTTACCGGCTGACTCTAACATGCACAAACATTACAAGCATAGTACTATCTTCCAGTCTCTCAGCAGACGAGGAGAACAACTCGGGCTTCTAGCTGGGAACTCCTGAATGCATTCTAGAAAGCACGATGCTGTACGCCTCCTCGCCCACGGCCCCTAGGAACATAGCCATAACCATAGCCGCCTCTTCCATAACCATAACCTCGAGAACGCCCTCCACCACGGTATGGACCCCGACCTCTACCACGATACCTTGAAAAATCTCCAAATGTCTGCACTCAAACGCATATTAGCATGTAAACCAAGTAAAACCTTAATAACAACAGGAAACAGCAAACAGTCATTTACCTCAGCGTCTAACTTCATCTGCTCTGAGAACCTAGGCCTATTGTGATTGGTGTCATTGTCAGCAATGTTGGAAGAGAGCGAATCAAAAAAGTCATCCTTGTTGTACAGGGGCTGGTGAAAAGAACGCGTATTACAAGTGAGTACTTAATTTTGTTGGCACAGTTAACAGGTCAAACGCCAAATATAACAGATAAACAGAAACTACCTTGATCTCAATTTGTGGTAACTCAGCATCGTATTCATCATGAAGATCATCTTCATCACTGCCAATTCCATCACCGTCTTTGTCCTTCAAGTGTGATTTGCTACTTTTACCAAGATGACCCCATACTTCATCTTTGTTGAACTTCTCATTCATGGCCTCAAAATCAAAATCTTCAGAAAACTTGGTCGTAGAACGTGATATCTGGAAAATCAAGTCAAGCACACCCATCATTAGATTATATATTAATTTTGAAAGTAACAAGACTCCACTAAGCAATTTTATATAAATAAGTGCAAAGTTGAAACAGCAACAACAAGCCATTTGTTGTACAAGAAAAAGATAAACAAAAGTCCCATATGACGGCCTATCACAAAAATAATTGAAATAGAGACTAAAGATAATGCAGCAGCCAGAAGAACTTGAAGACCATCCTGGATGAAGCATAATTGGGAGAATACTTACCCCACTTCCTCTTCCCCCACGACCACGATAGTTGTGACGCATGTGATGAGGACCTCCATTTGGCTACAATACAAATAGACAAACAGAAGTCATTTACTGATAAAGTCATTCTCCACTTTCATCATCATGCAAAACTAGAGTACTGAAGTCCACACAAAAAAGTAATCAGATTTGCACAAAACCAATCGATTTTATGGTTCTAAACACAGTGGGAAACTTGAATGAACCGAAAGTGAACAACGAGATACAAAAGGAAACCTAAAATATCTTCATATGGAGATAAAATCTTTTACTTTCACACTCTTGAATTCTAGACGCAAGAGAAATCTGATTTTCCAAAAATATAACCCAAAAATAATTTTAAAAAAAAAGATACAATTACTAGGAAAAGGTGGAACCTTGTAGGAGCGAGTAGGTGTTGGCAATGGTAATATGGGAGGCTGAGCTTCCGTTGAGACAGGAACTGGCGCTTCTGATGGTGAAGTTGTTGATACTTGTACTACCTCAACATCCTTTTGAGCTGTTACCGATGTCTGATTCAATGAAACTGAACTTGACCCTGTTTGCAATAGTTGCCCAGGAGTTATCAGAGAAGGTGTGGCCGTTTCTGTTAAGATTGAGCTAGATGTACCAATGACAGTGGTCGAAGGTTCAGAGGTATTTTGATGTTGCAACACAGGAACAGAAACAGCATTGGATTTGCTAGGAACTGAAGGCAGAACTGAGCTTAAATCTGGACTTGAGGTTGCCAGAGGAGCCAGAGACGGCAAAACACCACTTTGGAGAATACGATTAACAGGAGCCTTATTCAAGCCCAAGTTGTCAGATCCAAGTGCTGACGGTTGCATAGGAGGGATGCTCAGAGGCAAAGTAGAAGCTGGCAGAGCAGGAGATGAACTAAGGGAATTACTAACTGGAGGGACTATATGAGGATATTCAGGCAAATTTGAAGCGGGCAAGCTTGGTGCACCACCAAGTAAAGGCATGTTTGAACCTGGCATGTTCGATGTGCTAGTGGGTAAAGTCAAATTTGAACCTTGCAAGTTCGATACACCAGTTGATAAAGGCAAATTTGAACCTGGCAAGCTTGATTGGTTAGTTGGTAAAGATGTATTAAAACCAGGATAAGGCATCTGCTGCATGTTCGGGGGCATGGGTGGTCGAAGTAAGGGCTGCTGATGCAGCTGGGGAAGCGCATTAGGAGTACCATAATATCCCTGCCAATACACTGGCATTGCAAGACCACTTCCATTTGCATTTGGTGGAGGAGAAGGGCCCCAAGAGCTCAGATTACCACCAGGCGGATATAAAGGAAGGCCACCGGGATAAGTTGACCCAGGGTGTCCCAGCGGTGTTGAATGCGAACCAGCCTCAGATGCTGTTATACTCGTAGCTGTAGGCAGGGCCGTTGATGTGGGGGCTGAGGGAGGATAGTGAGACTGCAAGAAGATCAAGTTAAGCAATTGAGGCCAACTGAAATTTTCCATCACACAACCACCAAAAAATCTTTACTTGCCTGAATAATAGCCGGGTCACTGTTTATAGATGGGGTAGTTTGTACAGATGGGGATGATTTCACTTGCAGATCCTGTTGAAAAGAAAAGGGATCAATAACAAAGAGTTAATAACAGAAAACAAGAACACAAGTACAAAACAAATCACCACTTTTTTTGTATACTTTCATTATTCGAAACAGGAGATTATTTATCTCATACTTTGGAAGCTGAAACATGAAAAACATTATTACAAGAAAAAGGCATACCAAACACTCTCAGAACACCAATAACACACAATTCTTCCAGTCTGATATAAGCTTGCTAGTCACATATAACAGCATCACAAAGCAGTAATTCCATAAGGAAAATACCCAGATTTCGCATTCAATCAGCTTCATTCCTTATTCAAGTTCACTAAAACCTCGTTGTTATCAACGATTTCAAAACCATACAAAGCTAAGTGAGCATTGCCTTCAGTTGCAACTATTTCATATTCCATACAAACAAATTGCCATACACTACTAAAAAAAATACAAAAGTAAAAACAATTCCCATAAATACTAAACTACGGACTACCATCTAAGAAGTTCATGCTTCAAAAACCCACAGGTAAACAAAGATACATAACACATTTCAGTTTTAGCTAAAACAATCAAGATGTATCTGTACAAGAGAAGACAATTAAGCCACAAGTGAAAGCAGAACAAGCACGTAGAGTGAGAAGTCTCAAGAAGGTGCACTCCAACCAATCTTAACCATTACCTTGATATCACTTCCTCGAAAAAGAATGTACTCATAGATTTTGTCAGTGGCGGCCACTTGTGGCCCATCTTTTTTACGATTTTCTGTTCCAAATGCCCTCACTGCGATGAGAAAACCGCCAAAGTTAGTATGAATTTGCTATATCAAATGAGAAACAAAATATGGTAGTAGAGGACCCTTTCCACGATTTTTAAATAGTGAGAATCGTCATTATACTAGGAATACATGCCATGTAAACATACAACAAAAACCTATAGCAACAACCTCAACTCAGAAGCATTAAGGTGGTGATGATAAAAATCAAAAGATACTCCAAGAAGTTATAATAGTTTATTTGTGAAATAGTTGAAAAAAAAATACCACTTTTCCAGTTCAATTGACAGAAAACATCAGAGCCATTCATAAATCCATAAAATATAAAGAAGGCGAATAATCAAGCACCCCACAAAACGCCGTGCAAAGAAGTCGTAATTCAATTCAGATTGATTCGCTACATCCTCCATACCTAAAAAATCCTTTCTTTACCCAATTGAAACACCCAAAAAAAAGGAATAACAAAATCCGAAAAAAAAAATCAAACAATCAATCTATAGGGAAGAGAAAGAAAAGATTCGATACCGTTGCGAAGGCCGATGCTGGACTCGTCAGTATTAATATTATACAGAATGCCTTCGTATCTGATCTCGCTCTTCGAAGTCAAACTAATCAAACTCCCGATGTATGAATCTGCGGTGGCGTTGCTACTAGATCTACTAGCGGAGGACGACGAACTCTCCGCCGCCATAATTTGGCTATCTTCTTCGCCGATTAAAAATCGGAAAAATCAAGATTTGACAAATCCCTCTTTTCTGTTGCCCTAAATTATCAAAAAGACAGACCGATTATTAGCTAAAATACTATTCTTCTTCTGATGATGATAAATACGTGTAGACACATACACGTGTATTGCTTATGTATATATGTCTGTCCGGAGCAGTTTTTGAGTGTGTCACTGTCTGTTGACTCTTTTTATTCGGAAGAAGGAAGGGAAAAAAATAGAGAAACAAAGAGGAGGAGAAGAAGAAGAAGATGTTGATGAAAGGGGTGGTACTAGGGATAATGTAGGGTTTCGGGTTCCCACTAATGGATTTGGTTTTTTGGGATATCTTCGGTAATTATGACCCATTTTGTGGGCAATTACGAGGCCTTTTGGACTTGCTTTTGCTTTTCTTTTTTCTTATCGGTGGGTTTTGAAATTGTAGTATTGGTGGGTTTTTGAAATTTTTATTATTTTTTAAAAAAAATATATAATTTATGAGTGTATCATATAGAATAAGGAAAAAATAATTGTAATTACATAACTCTACATAAATATAAAAACGAATGATAGTTTGTTATGTCTTATGAGGAAGAGCAAAATAGTTAATATGTTTTTTTTTTTTTGGTGAAAGCTTTGGGTATTAAGTTGATTGGGTTCTTCTCTGTCTTAGGTTTCTTCGCTCAGAGACTTGCTCTCAGTTACCGAAGAATTGACTGGAAATGACAACGGTAGCCGGAAAGATAATCAAGAATTGTAAAAGGGAAAGGAGTTCTAGAAGAATCAAGAAGAAAGAAGAACTGAATTTCATTCATTAAATCGATAAAAACCCTCATCAGTATAAATTCAGTTATTAATACTGATGGCGGCTAATCATCACGTCATTATTACGCCAATCATTACAGAATCTAACTTTCAACTGATTTACAATCAGACTCTAATTTTTATAAAATTCCAAAAATGACCCTTAATAATTGACAATCCCTCCTCCATATGAAAAATCGTGTCCTCAAGGTTTAAACTGAGGGAATTGCTTGTGGATGAAGCCAGAATCTTCCCAAATCAAGATTCTTTCCACTGAATCAACCACTGAGTCACCTGAGTGCCATTTCTGTGAATGAATCTCTTTAAATCACCTTGACTGGAGTAAGCACATGATCTTCAATAATGTTCAAGTCAAGAGGTGGTGTTGTTGCTGGTATTTGGTTCCCATAATGTTTCTTCAGCAAGGACACATGAAAACTATGTGAATCCTGACATAATCTGGCAGCTACAACCTGTAAGCAACCTCTCCAATTTTCTACACCACCTTATAAGGACCATAGTACTTGGAAATCAACTTCAAATATAATCTGATAGCCAAAGTAGACTTTCTATATGGTTGTAGTTTCAGGTAAACCCAATAGCCAATTGATAACACTCTCTCAGAACGATGTTGATCTGCATAAAATTTCATCTTGTGTTGAGCTTTCCTTAACTGATCCTGTAACAGCATGATAACAGCAGCCCTTTATTACACTTCACTTCACTGATCCTGTATGAAGTCACGAAGAGGAAACAGTCTAGGCTTTTCCCCATACAAGGCCCTATATGGAGTCATATTAATGCTGGAATGGTGTAAAGTGTTATACCACCACTCTGTCAATGTCAACCATTTACTCCACGTGATAGGTTTTTCACAGCAAAAACACCTAAGGTACCCTTCCAAGCATGAACCCTCTCAGTTTGTCCTTCTGTTTCAGGGTGATAAGCTGTACTTAACTTCAACTGAACTCCCAACAACTTAAAAAGTTCATTCCATAAGTGGCTAGTAAACATAGGATCTCTATCAGTAATTATGTCCTCAGGTAATCTATGCAACCTGAAAATCTCCTTAAAGAATGTTTCAGCCACTTTAGGAGCTGTGATTGGTGACTACAAGGCAAGGAAATGGTTATATTTGGTGAGGTGATCAACCACCATTAGTATGGTATCATTTCCATATGAAACAGGCAGTTTGATTATAAAATCCATAGGTATGCTCTTCCAAACATGCTGTGGGATAGTGTTTGGACATAAAAGACCAGGAGTGGCTAAGTGTTCCACCTTATTTCGCTAACAAACATCACAACTTCTGACATACTCCTCTACTTCTTGTTTCATCCTTGGCCAGTAGAAAATACTCCTGAGGCGTTGCCATGTTGTATTCTGACCTGAATGACCCCCCAAAGGTGAATAGTAAAAAGCCTTCAATAGTGATTGCCTGATACCTGTCTGAGTGCCTACATAGACTTTTCTATTTTTTTCCTCAAAATGCCCTATATATATTGATAATCAAGATGATGTTAGGGGCTGATAGTAACACTGGGAATCAAATCATTAGCAGTTTGGTCATCCTGGTAACTTTCAATAACTTATTGCATCCAAACAGTTTGGACATATGACATAGCCCACAGTTAACTTTGAATGTTCCCCTCTTCTGTCACATGAACTCTTCTTTGATAAAGCATCTGTTGCACTATTATTTGATCCCCTCTTGTATTGAATCTCATAGTCAAATCCCAAAAGTTTAGTGAGCCACTTATGCTGATGAGCATTGTTGATAACCTTCTGCTCCAACAAATATCTTAAAGACTGATGATCAGTTCTAATGATGTAGTGAGATCCCAACAAATAATGCCTCCATTTCGTCACAACCAACACGAAGGCCTTGAGTTCTTTTTCATAAACTGAAAACCCTTTGCTTCTCTGGTTAAATGCCTTGCTCAAATAATCTATAGCCTGGCCACTCTGCATAAGAACTACAACATGCCATGACCACTAGCATCTGTCTCTACAACAAAAGGTTGAAAGAAATACGGTAACCTTAGTACTGGTGATGTGATCATGCATTGTTTTAGCTTGTGGAAAGCTGTATGAGACTAATCATTCCATTCAAAAGCATCCTTCTTTAACAGATTGTTCAAGGGCTTGCATAAAATACCATAATTCTGGATAAACCTTCTGTAATAGCCGGTGAGTCCCAAAAACCCTCTCAAATTCTTGACATTGTTAGGCACAGGCCACTCAGTGATGCATTTGACCTTGTGAGGATCCATACTCACACCTTGTGCATAAATTCTATGGCCTAAATACTTAACAACTTCCTTTGCAAATTCACATTTACTCTTCTTTGCATACAGTTGTTTTTGTTGGAGGATTTGCAAAATTTGTTCTAGATGCTTCAAATGCTCTTCTAATGATTTACTGTATATAAGTATGTCATCAAAGAACACCAACACAAACTTTCTCAAAAATTGTTGAAAAACCTGATTCATGAGGGACTGAAAGGTTTCTGGTGCATTAGTAAGTCCAAACATAACCAAGAACTCATAATGACCATTGTGAGTTTGGAAACCTATTTTGTGCACATCATACTTGTTCACCAATATTTCACGGTAACCTGATCTCAAATCCAGCTTTGAAAACATAGTAGCACCATTTAACTCATCCAAAAGCTCCTCAATAATTGTAATTGGAAATTTATCTTTTATGGTCATTTCATTTAGTCTTCTGTAATCAACACACATCCTCCAGCTTCAATCCTTCTCCTTTACCAAGATAATAGGTGAGGCATATGGACTCTTACTAGCTTGTGATATATCTTGTTGCAAATGTTCAGCTACTTACTTTTCAATTTCAGCTTTATGTGTATGAGGGCACCTGTATGGGGGTATTTTAAATGGTTGGGAACCAACTTTCAATGGAATATGATGATCCACATTTTTGCTTGGTGATAAGGAATCAAGATTTGCAAACACTAAGTAGTATTTGTCAAGCAGCTTACTAACACCTTCTGGAAGAGGGATTTCCACCATTGAAGGGCTTGTTTCCTCCATTGCATTCAAGTGCATTGAAAACAGTCTCCCTTTCCTTTCCCGATTGAGTTCCTGACTTTCCTTATCTCTAACCAACCTCATGCTAGCAACACTCCCACTCCCTTGAAGGATGTACTGTCTTCCATAACGGCTTAATCTAACATGCATCTCATCAAAATCAAAGGTAATAGGGCTAAAATGCCTCATTAAATCTACCCCTAGTATCATGTCATAATTTTCTAACCTCATGATCTTCAAATCATTGCTGAATTTGTATTCCTTAATATCCCAATGCAGCTTAGGACATATTAAGTTCTATGATACTTTACTATCATTTCCCACTGTTATGGTGTACATAGTTGATTCAGTAAAATGTAGCTTCAATTCTTGAACTAAGGAAGCATCCACGAAACTGTCTATACTACTAGTATCAATCAGAATCTTGATCACCTTCCCATTCAATTTTTCCAAAATGACAATGGTTTGCTTCACATTACCCACTGATAACACATGTAAGGAGCCTTTCTTAATAATTAAATCATTCAAATCAATTCCATCATCCACCAGAAATTCAAGAACATCCAAGACATCTTTCCCCTTTTCCTCATCATCTTCATCAATTACTACCATGACATTAAACTGTCTATACTTACAGGTAGGGCTGTTAAACAAACCGAGTTGAGTTCAAGTACTCGCGAGTAGCTCGGTCAACGACTCGAGCTTGACTCGAGTTTGACCAAATTCGAGTAGTATCGTTTGCTAATCGAGTCGAGTTCGAGCTTAAAAATTAGAACTCGAAAGCTCGTTGAGTAGCTCGACTCGATAAAATTTAAAAATATTAATTATTTATATATATTATTTTTATGTTTTTACTTCCCAAGCCTCTTTACTCTTGGATATAATAATATTTTAATTAAAGATTCTTCTATACTCTTCCAAAGCTTTTCTAACCACCACATTTACTTTTTCACTCGGTCAAATCATACTCCCATCTCCTCTATCCTAAAATCTCACCACTGAAATCTTATCTAATCTCTTTGCTCATCTCTTCAATTTTTTCTCATCTAAGCTCTTGCCCCATTTCCAGTTCTTTCCCACGATTCACCTGCTTATAGAATCTACTTTATCTCTCTCTCTCTCTCGGTCCCTTTCTCATCTAAGCATTTCCCTTCTTAACCTTTTTAATGTTTACATCAATTCACATTTGTACCTGTAATCTTCTTTATTGTTCTTCATTGATGGTTGCAAGTGTGTGGTGTGGACGAAAACTCAAACTATAATGGTTGAGAAGGTGAACTGGTGAGTGTTTAATTTTAATTTTGTTTTCTTATTTTATTAATTTATTTCTTCTTTTATTAATCTGTATCTTGCTATTCCTTGTTCCATGAAAAAAATGGCGGATCGTGTGCTACAGCTAGAGGCTAATTTGCAATTTTTATTTAAAAAAAGTAAATTATCGAGTAGAGCTCGAGTCGAGTTCGAGCTCATTAAATTTAT